GACCATCTTAACCTGCTTTCATATCAGCGTCAGAATTGATGGCTCTCCAGAGTTTGAACTCGTCAGCAAACAGGATGGCGCTGCAACTCAAGTCGTCGACAGAGTCGTTGATATAGATAAGGAAGAGCAGTGACCCCAAGACAGCCTTGGGGGATGCTACTCAGAACAGATGTGTGGAATACTTGGAGTCACCGGTGCACACAGTTAGCGATCGCCCTGTGAGAACATCTGTGATCTATGCCAGCAGGTTTGCTGTTATTCCAATGGTCAATTGTGTGCGAAATAAGGATTTTGCTTTAAGTGAAAAAAAACCTAACTTCAAAGGTATAATACTGGTAATTTCTGTAGTTTATTTGGTCGCTAACATGCGGCTGTGATCGGCAATTTGTATTTTTTGGCAAAAGTGATTATAGAAGTCGCAAAAATCCCATCGACTTATAATAAAAAAAACTACTTTCAAATTTTCGGTAGCCTGACTTTAAATTTTCTCGTTAAATTCCATCAATAGGAGGACGCGTCTCAATTTTCGTTAAATTTCCCCTGCATAAGGTCAAATTTTCCTGGATTAGCATTCGTTTTCTACGCAATAGAAGCTTATATCGATCGATTTTTTGTATTTAACATATTAAAACAACTATAATCGTATTTAATTTTATATCGTTTGATCAATTCCGCTACAATATCATATTAATTTACGCTCACTAGCCAAGAATTATATTTGTGACCAGTTGGGCTAGGGGTATTGATATCTGGGGGGGCTCCAGAAATCATTCTTGCCGCGGAATTTAAAGAAAATTGATACCCATTGTCCTATTTGTGGACTTTAACGCAGAAATTTAAATCCAGGTTACCGAATATTTGAAAGTAGTTTTATATTATAAGTCGACGGGATTTTTGCGGCTTCCATAATCATTCTTGCCATACAGGGCGTCCCATAAATGTATACACATTTTAAATAATTGTAAACTTGGTGTGTATTATAGTTTTATAATTTTAGAAACGTAAAAATAATTACAAGTATCATTTCACTACATTTTGACTATTGCAACAGTAACTGAATTGAGAGAAGCCAACGAACATGAATGCATCCGAATACCAAGGAAATTGTTTCATGGTGTGTGCGATCCCACTGCTTGGCTTTGTCAGCAATGTCAGGATCAAAATGGACGTCAGTTTGAGAACATTAAGTGAAAAAAACAAGAAAATTATATCCGTAAACATTTTAACATCAATTTACTAATGATAAAATTATGATAAACACCAATTTTACGATAAGGTAAAATGTGGATACACTTTTTTGCGACACCTTGCATATGCCGAGCCCAAAGCATACGGCCCTCATTAGGAATTAAGTATATTTAATGTTCCGGTAAAGAAATTGATAATTGTCGCCTAAATATAAATTCTTATAAAGGAAATTGGATTTGCGACGCTAGAATCCTTATCCCAGTCATGAGTTTCCATAATATCCATTTGTTTTAAATACTTTACGTTTGCCTAAAGACGACCTAGAATGTTATTGAAGCATTTCAAATACTTCGCGTGAGCTTTCTTGTATTTGGGAGCTCTCGGCCAATTTTTTCAATCATCAATATTTACAATGCTAAAACGCGCTTATATTAACGTATAAAAATGCGTTTTGCCTGCGTGATTTTTACCCTAGTTACTTATGTTTCTGATATTATAAATTAATTCTTCTTGCCAGCACAGGCGACAGGGGATTCTGGGGAAATTTGGAGGAATACGGGAATGAAGAATTTTGTATTACAAATTATATTTACAGTGCACGTTTTTTGAAATCTTATTTTTTATCAATAAATTATTAATAACCTTGTCCTCTGACAAAACAATCAATTTGGGGATGTAATATTACACCCTTGGGTACTCATATGTCAAAATAATTTTCCGCCTAATTTTTATACTATTTAAACATTTAAGATAAATTCACTTATCTTATTTTGCTTAAAGAGAACACATGCTCATAATCCTGATCCGTAACAACATAGTTATCCGATGACATATCTGACAAAATGCATTCTTTCCCATGGTCTATACACGTACCGATCGATAACGATCCATATATTTTTTAACATTATGCATTTATGTAAGCACTTGGCCTTTTAATTAAACTTATTTATCCTAGGTTTTGGAGACAAGGATAGTATGCAGTAATGTTTTGTTTCTAGTTCTTTAAAAAAGCGTCTCATATAAAGATGAAGAACCCCACGGGATCGAAGGCCGGTCTTCCAAAGATGCTTCAGGTGTTCAACGAATTACGTGCTTCTGAAGCGGCAGTCGTTTTACAGGAAGAGTTTCACGGTGCTTGTGGTTTAGCAGAACTGCTTTCAAGCTCTGCGATCACAGGTAATAAAACAAATTTCAAGCTGCTATTGCAAAAAATACTGTTTACTTTTTTCGTTAAAATATCGTTTAACTAGCATAATATTATATAAAATGCTAAATGCAGAGTAGATACCCGTATAAATATTCAAGAAGTTAAGTTCGGCAAGGGGTAGAGTCTGAATGCCCTCAACCCTTCTCCACACCTATTCATTAGTGGTAACTTAAACTTTTGATAATCTACGCTCTTTTATATCATTTTGCAGGCCTGAAAATGAATAATCGAGAGCAAACGTTTGCTGGAATTGACGTATTAATATAAATATCTACGTTATATCCAAATAGAATTTTCGTAAAATACGGTATTTGTTGAAAATAATAAGAAGCTATGTCCACATACATCTTTGGATATTGATGTGCCTGGAGTATCTTTTTACACGGTTTTCGGTATGCACTAAATTGCAAAATTATTTATGATCGCTCACTAGTAAAGAAAGCAGAGTAGATGCTATGAGAAATAAATTTTTTCAAAGCTCAAATTATAAGAATAAGTTTAAACCAATTTGGTTTCAACGGAATTGTTAATTCACTAAATGCGTTACTAAAAGTTATTCTTTTTTATCAATATATTCATGGTGTATTTTCCAAATGCGATTTTTCGATCCTAGAAAAATGGAGAAGGAGTTTCTGTTGATAAAGTTAGCCAGATCGCAAACAGTTCCGATGAAATGATTTCGATTCTTAAGAATGTTATGACGACCAGTTGCAAATATGAATGCATAAATCGCAGCATGTGTATATGCCACCTAAAAACTTCGAACGAAAAGAGTGAACTAAGCTTGATTTATACATGCTCAATTGCATCCAATCTCTTGATAAGTAAGCTTTGCGCCTTAAACAAAGTTCAGACAAGTGAATCCATTATAAAGAGTTCATTTTCAGTGCGATGATATTTCATACGTTCATATGTTGTCGGATTTATATGGTTAATTACTAGTATGGCCGGGACTGTTATATTTTAAATATTATTACCGGCAAAGATAAGTTAAACTGGAATTAGCTATTGCTGGCTTTTTAGCCGTCGTCAGGTGCTCATAACCAACCCCAAGTGGTGCACCACCCAAGGCCCGAAGTCGCGATCTTTTTATCAGAGTCTAACGCCATAGACACTGAGCCGCGAGCTCGTTGTTTTGCTAGTTTTGATCGGAAGATGTTGGAGTTTGTTGATGAACTTTCACAGACCGCTAGACTCTGATTAAAAAGGTCGCAATTTCGAGCCTTGAGTGCTGCACCACTTAGGATTGGATATGACTGGCTGACGATGGTTAATAAGCCAGAAATGGCTATTATGGTCTCCCTTGTCTTTACCAGCAGCATTAGCTGCCAATACTGCTAGTTGCTACGGCTACTATCAGGAGGCGAGAAATGAGGCCTAATACAAGTTAGTTCCGTTGGCGATTGCTAACCCTTCATCGACGAGTGGTATGTTTAAAAAGGCACAACATTCGCTTCGATATTCTTTGTGTTTCAGTATTCTAAAAATTTACAAAATTATGCATAATATTTTCGTATTTTGCGGATTACATTTTAGGCTTGAAGGAGTCCCAAGTCTTGGAACAACGCAATACATTTGGCGCAAATTCTGTTCCCCGGAAACCACCAAAATCTATTTTCCGTCTTCTTTGGGAGGCTCTGCAAGACCTAGTGTTAATAATATTAATACTGGCGGCAGTCGTATCACTCGTGTTATCCTTGTACATGCAATGTGAGTCTCGATTAAATAACGTTGTTCAATGAGCGCTATGCATTTAAGAGCTAGTGGATACATTTCATCTATGAACTAGAAAAGTTCGAAAATTTTACCACTTGTTTATTTTTACGTCTTTGTAGACCTATTCATAGGGAGACGTAGAAACTATGAAACGTGATGAGCCATTTCCATTGAAAACATTGTTTACCTAATATGCTAACTGATTTGCTCTTGTTGGTGCGAAATCCGATCTTTACTATTCGACCTTTAATTAAACTCTTAGCACAACTCTGACGAATCGCAGGAATAAAAATGAAGGCCTGTCAAACTAAATTGAATCATCTCGAATATATTATATTCTAGGATTTATCCTATGCATTGTTTGTCATCATTACTATAATTGGCTTTAGACACAGGCACTCATAAGCACTAACCAAAGCAAAACATTTATTAAAAGCTATTTTAAAAACAAAAATGCGATTTTGAGGACCGTTACACGTTCATGCTATTACAAAAATACTTTTAAAAGTTCACCAAAATAAGAAACCTATTGAGTAGACTAATATCTTGAACATGCACCTTACATACCATTCGCGCATATTCCTTCCTGAATTACCTGAGCAGCAAGAGTTTTGTTCTTTTTGACTGCATTACGTAAAATACTCCAGAACCGGTTGGTGTTTTGGGAAGACAGATGTCGCCCGTTTCCCTAACTTTGCGTATTTTATCACTTTTGGCTGTAATTTTAGATTATAATTTAAGATTTTTTTCACAGATTACGAGGAATCACCTAATACTGCAGATCCTTCCGAGCGCGATGCAGGTTGGATAGAAGGCGTTGCAATTTTGGTCGCAGTGGTTGTGGTGGTTCTCGTTGTTGCCTTCAATGACTGGCAGAAAGAACGACAGTTCCGCAGTTTGCAAGACAGAATTGAATCTAAGCAAAAATTCACGGTGGTACGCGACGCGAAAATCCAGGAAGTACAAATAGCGGACATTGTTGTTGGAGATGTTTGCTTGATAAAGTATGGTAAGAAACAAGATTACACTTTTCATACCACATACGCTTTAAATTCCTTATGCAGAAGTCACTTTAGTGCAAGCTATTTAGATTAATATAAGGGCTCTACATGCTAAAATATATTAATTTCAGCCTTGGATAGATCATAACCGCCATCAAGATTTTCCGGTTGTAGCATGTCTTTTGTTTGCAACCAGATACTTTTCAATGTCAGAAATGCCAGAATTATTTGTAGGTTGCAAACATTCTTACACTGTTGTTAATGAAGTGCCCTCTACGTTTTAAGACAGCGAGTTATCATACAACTTCATTTTGAGACTTACAAAAACATGTAGCAAGATAGAAAATAAAATGATCGCGAATGACGCATTTGATCAAATGCACTTCCAATATTGAGCTTGTGTTTGTATTTACTTCCCTCCTGTGGTGCTGCAGGAAGTACTGGTCTCAGTTGTATGATTTGGGAACATTTATTAAATGTAGATATAAAGTAGGATAGACAAGGAAGGTGGCGTTTTAAAATTTGTCTTCAAAGCACCACTCGTTTGCTTGCTCCGATAAAATTGTGAAATAGAGCAACAGCTTATTAAACTTAAGGCAACTCTAACCTACTTTAGAAAAACCATGCGTCACACTTCAAAAATAGATACCTTAAAATTTTTTAAGGAGAAATTTGAAGAATTTGACGCACTGATTGTTTCGAAATATCCTTCGTTCCACGAGGAGTTAAGGGTTTTAAAGCACTCCGCGGTTCAAAAATAGAATTGTAATTTCATTGTCAATCCTGGTGTTGATGTTGGCTTCAATCAAGAGGAATGGATCTAATTTAGTCCGTACTCAGGTTAGCTTGTAATAGGGAAAAGTGTACAGATATTGTCTCTTAGAATTGCAGACAGTTTACATTCTGGGATTCTTTTATAGAAGAAGGCTATTAAAAAAACGAGGTAGGTGGTCTTGGAAATTTCTGTCTTATTGGCTATCGTCTTTGAGCCGTAGCCAACCCAAAATTCAAAGGCATATAGAAATCAAACTCAAAATATTTAATCTTAACCTTAGCAATTTAAGCTCATACCGGCTCGTCATTCTGTGGTTATGGGTGGAAACATCGATCGGGATAGAGAAACACATACCTTGATCAGTTTATGGCACATAATTATCTTCCTTTGCATTAGCGTTCAATTTAGAGCCAAGTAGACAGTCACAGCGCGACTAGCAGTAAAGGCTGGAGAAAAAATACCCAACAAATCCGAACTGGCGGCTCAATTATTGGGGTGTTGGACTTAATAACCCTCAATGCGTCCGGGTTTGAACCTCAGTTACCCTCACAACTGCATTTGAATACTGCTAGTTGATGACGTCTAATAAGTCAGAGATGACCATGACCGTAATCTATTTGGCCCAATTCGGAGGAAATTGGCGGCCATGGGGTTTCGAACCCACAGAGTTAGAGTAAGGCTTGAGTATAGCCAACGCTCTAACTGCCCGATGTACAAGGCCCTGATTTAAAAAAAAACTTGAACCAATTTAGTGGCCATTCATAGTGTAATATATGGAACCCCCAATTTTATCACAGTAAGCTGACCATCTAAGTAAAAGTTTGTAAACGGCCCATCTAAAATCCCAGGCTCACTTCATTTGTGATTTGGAAAAAAATTAATAAATACTTGGAAAATTTATTGTGAAAAGCTCGACAGCAACGGTTAGATTTAAAGGTACGACAGCTCGTAAACAGTATAAAGAAGACGTTCGACAAGATGAGGAAGGTGGGATATCTCAAGAGAAGGGAAGCGTTAACCATAAAAACGACTTGTGCCGTTTCTACTACTGGACAAAAGGCAACAAGCCAGGCGTATTTTCAACGCTCTAACAAACAAAGCTATGATTCCTCATTGATAGCCATGCGTTTAACGACATTTGGGATCGAATTTTACCGGGGCCGCCAAATGTTTCCCAATTGGAACAAACGAGTAATACGTATTTTTTAATGCTACCGATTAATTTGTCGGTCATATGATTTGTCAATGCTATTTATATCGGTATCACTGTTCACAGAGCCTCTAGATACAATTAGGCGAGCATTTAGAGCAAAGTACTAGGTGACATTTCCTATATCCTTACTGTGGGGTTTAATTTATCACTAAAATGGACTAATAAACCCTTAGCGGCCATTTGTTTCGTGAGCTTAGTAATTTAAATGTGGAGGCAGAAATAGGGTAATATAATTTGCTGTATATAGGTGGCTAAGGTTTAGATAAATTTGCCTTACCTATATCGTACACCATTGCCATGTTTTGGATTAGAACTACGAAATTGTGAAATGAGGGAATCAGCAACTTTGCTTATTTTTGATGGCGCTGTTATATATTCCCCAAGCGGTCCTTATCATAGACAAGGCATTGTAAAATATTGGAAAAACACGTGTCTGGGATTTAAGCTAGTACCTGTACTCTCAATCTGGCGTATCGTGTAACCCTGGTTGCCTGTTGACAGGTTAATGAATATCACGCGGTTATCCCACTGCAGGTGATATCCAGTATCAGTATCAGTATCAGTATATTGAGGGATGCGTAGGAAAAATTCCTT